CAGACCCATTGCTTGTTAATATTAAGGGTAGTAATTCTATTAGCTATTTGGCAATAAGTAGAAAAGTATCTCAATATAATAAAGTTTGTATACAGTATTATTTTGGCTTCATGGAAAAATGTATTTTTAAGGGAGTAGGATATGTTATATGTATGTAGCTGTGTATTTATATATTGCTTAAAGCACTTAACAGTGGTACTGAGTTACCCTTACGTGCAAATCTGTGCGGGTATACAAAGCAATTGTTCAGTCTTACTACTTAAGCACAAAAGCACAAAGGACTTCTCCCACTGAATTCACAGATCATGTCCCTCCCTTTGAATGAAACATGTCTTTATATGGTTTTCAAGGTCAAAGTGTTTCCTGTTTCATCTGAAATAGGTCTGGAAATTAATGCCAACCAGAGCTTGGATGGCTTATAGAGCTGGAATCTTTTCTTTTTCTTTTAAAGCAGGCAATAAACAATTCACAGACACAAGAAATAGACTGGAACTCTTAGAAATTCCAACTGGTTGTCATAGATACCTTGTCTCCTGTGGTCCCACAGGCAGTGTCATACAAAATGCCACAGTGAAATCCATCTACCTTTAACATTTCTGTAGGAGGCATTGTGTGGTAATTTTTCATCATCCCCTCTGAGAAGAACTTGCATTAAACTACAATTTTAAAGCCTCTTCTACATAGAAGATTATGTCATCTGCAAGTAATAATAATTTGACTAATGATAATTTGGACTAACTTTTTAAAAAAGATATTTTGAATAATGATAATTTGGACTGTCCACTATGTATATTTAATTAAGCACTTTTCTCAATCTAAAACCATTATCTATCTTGGACTAATTTATTTTTAAATAGTAAATTTGCTGCTACTTTTTAAAAGTAGGGACAACTTGTTAAAGAATTTGGAAGGATCTTAGAAAAATTATCATTATTTGCAGATGACATGATCCTCTATGTAGAAGACTCAGAAAATCCACCAAAAAACTTAGAATTGATAACCAAATTCAGTAATGTACAGGATACAAAATCACACAGAAGTCAGCACTGTTCCTATACATTAATAATGAAACCACTGAGAAAGAAATTAGGAAAATACATCATTCACAATAACACCAAGAAAAGCTAAATACTTAAGAATTAACCTAACTAAAGAAGTGAAATGAAAGCTACAGTACTACTATGAAAGAGGAGATCAAAGAAGACATCAGATCATGGAAAGATAGCCCCTATTCCTGGATAAGCAGAACCAATAAAATCAAAATGACCACACTTCCAAAATGGATATGCAGATTTAATGCAATCCCAACCAAAATACCAACAACATCCTTCACAGAACTGGGGAAAACAATCCTGAAATTCGTATCGAACCAGAAGAGACCTAGAATAGCAACTGCAATTCTGGGTAACAAGAGCAAAGCAGGAGGCATCACAATCCTGGACCTGAAGTTACATTACAAAGCTACTGTGATAAAAACAGTGTGGTATTAGCACAAAAACAGACACATACATCAATGGAACAGAACAGAGGATGCAGACAGAAGCCCAAATACATTCAACTGTTTGATCTTTGATAAAGGGGTCAAAAAATACACTGGAGAGAGATACCCTCTTTCATAAATGGCATTGGGAAAACTGGCTGTGCACAATGCAGAATATTGAATCTAGACTTATATTTCTCACCATGTACTAAACTAAAATCAAACTGGGTTGAAGAACTAAATGTTAGAAACAACCTGTTGAACAATAAAGTAGGTAAAACTCTTGAAGTCATAGGCATAGGTAAGGACTCTCTGAACAGAATCCAGTTGTACAGGAAATAGTCTAGAGAATCAATTAATGGGATCATATCAAATTTAAAAAGCTTCTGCACAGCAAAAAGAAATACTCAACAGAGTGAAAAGACAGCTTAAAGAATGGGGAAAAATTTCCGCCAGCTATTCCTCAGACAAAGGACTAATACCTAAAATATATAAACAACTGAAAAAATTAGACCACACAAAATAAAAGACCCAATCAAAAAATGAACAGATGAAATGAACAAACACTTCAGAGAAGAACAAATGGCTGATAAATACATGAAGAAATGATTGACATCACTGGCCATCAGAAATGTAAATCAAAACAACATCGAGATTCCATCTTATCCCAGAAAGAATGGCCACCATCAAGAAATCAAAGAGCAAGTGGTGGCGAGGTTGTGTGTGTAGGGGAAAGGAACCTTTTTACATTGTTGGTAGCCATGTAAATTAGTACAACCACCATGCAAATCAGTAGAGAGATGCCTCAAAAAAATTCAAACTACATATTCCATTTGACCTAGCTATTCCCTTTCTAGGAACCTTCCCAAAAGACTTCACATGCACAATTCATAGTAGCTAAATCTTGGAAGCAGCCTATATGTCCATCAACAGATGAATGGATAAAGAAAATGTGGTATTTACACACAATGGAGTACTACTCTGTCATAAACTGGAATCACCGCAGGAAAATGGAAGCACCTTGAGACCATAAATGTTAAGTTAAATATATCAGACACAAAGCTTAAATATTGCATGGCCTCTCTTATATGAGAAACGCAAATTACAAATAAAGAGCAAAATAAGAGATATTAGGAAGTAGGGAGATAGATTTTTCTCAAATGGGAAGGAGCTCTAGTAATGAAGGAGAAGAGAGGAGGAAAAGGGAAAGAAAAGAGGAATTAAAATGTGTTATGCATATGCACCAATGTAAACATTATATACTGCAAATGTTTAACAAAAATAAAATAAACATACAAAAAAACCCACTAATTTGAAATAGCCTAGAAAATAAATAGCCTTTAAGAAGCACATATCGCCAAGTGAGATGGTGCATGTCTGTAGTCCCACCACTGAAGAGGCTGAGGCAGGAGGATCGCCTCAAGTTTGAGGCCAGCCTGGGCTACATAGTGAGTTCCAGGACAGCCTGAACTACATAGTAAGACCCTGTCTCAAAACCAAACAAACAAAGCACGTGTCTATAGTTATCCTAGTTTTCGGACACAAAAATAGAGATACAGTTTTTTTTTTCAGCTTTGAATTTGTGGCTGATGTCTTTCAAAAGTATAACTGAAACGAATAATAGTATTAAATAAAATTGCTCTAAAAGATTTGAAATGTGGCTCAGTTATAGTTAACATAATTGTGAAGTCCCAAGAGTTTTGCCACCATCTTTGGTAAAAACTGATCCTGAGAGACTAGAGATAAACACACTGATGCCAATTCCAACTCTGCACTGCACAAAGGGGGGAATCCTATAATACAAGAAATTGTGAAGCAGCAAAAGTAAATCCCATCTTTCGTGCAGATTATCAATGAAATGGCATTACTACTTCAAAATATCAAATTATAACTGGAAAGTTTATAACATTTTCAAAATGATGTCCACTGAATTACATCTACCTACATTGGTCGGTATAATCAGGCTAGATATAGATGTAATTTAACTTATACTTGTGTGTATACAAAGTTAAAACTTTGAAATCATATAGTCAAATTACCTAAATCAGTTACAATAGTCATTACTATTTGGGAAACTAAGTATTTGCCATGATGAATATCTTATTTTAATAACTGCAATTTATTTAGTGATACTGGGGTATCACTAAATCCAGGGTTCACACCCAGCTACATCCACAGGCTTTTAAAATTTTTTAAAAATTTTGACACAAGGTCCTGCTAAATTACTAACTTGCCCAGATTGGGCTCAACCTTGTAATGCTCCTGCCTCAGCCTTCCAGAGTGCTGGGATTACAGGTGTGCACCACCACATCTGGCTCAATTTAATTGTTTTTATGTCTGGAAATTCCTTGCATTCCATCTTTATTAAACTCATTTATTATAAAACAGAATTTCTTCTTTTGAAAACGAATTTCGGGGTTTCAGTCCTTATGCTGTTCCCCCTCATGCTGTAGCAAAAAAATCCTAAAAACGCCTCTTTTGATGGCAAAAACGTGATGGATTTAAAAATTACCTAGTTTTAAATTTCTGACTTACAGGTCTTTGTTGCCATCTGCTGGTTATGTTGTTTAGTTGCATTTTCTTATGCGGGGAAGGCGGCGCGGGGGTGGGGGGCGCCCGGCCGTTGGGGCGCCCTCCCCTCCCCTCCCCTCCCCTCCCCTTCCCACTAACGGCGGCCGTAACGGCGGCGGGCGGGTCTCGAGGCTGCGCCTCGGAACACGGACTGAGAGGAGATGGTCAAGCACAGGAGAAAGAAGCGCGCCGAGGCGCGACCGGAGTCGCCCCGGATCTCCCGCGCCAGGGGTGGGGAGTCCGAGCTAGAGGAGGAGCTTTGCATGGATGAGGTTCCTGGGAGCCTGACCAGCCTCGCGCAGCTCCTGCCTTGGGTCCTGGATCGGCTCTGCGAGAAGGCGGGCGCCCTGAAGACACCCGGGACCCGCCATGGCGCTACTCTGGGCCTCGGTGAGCGGCGGGAGGGTGCGGGCCTGCAGGGGGCGCTGCTCCTGGACGGAGATGGGGACGGGGCTCGGGGAGTGGCGGGAGGGCGCGGGCCTGCAGGGGGCGCTGCTCCTGGATAGAGATGGGGGACACCGCCGGTGAGAGTCTGTGAGGACTAATGCAAAGTCCCAGACTCAGCGCTCAGCCTTCTCAGAGAAAGTTACTTTAGGACAGCCAGCACCAGTTTGTAAAAACGACTGGCTGCCTTTCATGGACAGACATTATGCTGCTCTGCATTTAAAATAAAATAAAGGAAGTGGTTATTTTCCCCGAGTTTTCTTTAGTGCATATTTTACAGATGAAGGGTTTCATTGTGGCAGATTTTTAATGCGCTTAACATGATTTCATCGTTCTCTCCATCACCCTCCGCCCTAGATTCACTTGGAGGGGGTGTTCAATGTGTATAATGTATTTTTAATCATATCCCTGTTGTTTTGACTAGCGGAGATCGCTAATAGTGGATATGTCACAAGGAAGTGACTCCCAACCTTTTAGATCTCAGATGTGCTGTGTACATGTCTCTCAATAACCAAAGAATGGTTATGAGGACAAGGGAGCTTAAGAATAGTAAAAGTTTATTGAGATAAAGCTCCTGAGAGAAAGGAGGCTTCCCAAACGTGGGTTGCTGCCGAGCTTCCTTGCCTGGAGGTTTTATACATGCAAATGACCACATCTCAGACCACTCTGGGTCAAGCTGAGGCCAACCCATGGAGTTACAAGTATAGTAGCTTGGCTGATACTGATCCAGTAGGGAAATGAGGCATGTAGCAAGGGTATACAGTAGTCATCCTTAACTTCAGCTTGTTTATAACTTGTAAGGTAGAAGGATCAAAGGCATTTTGGGGAAGGGAGAGGAGGCTGGGTCAAGGTGTTCTAGTCACTCACCTTGTCATCTGATGCTGAGCCAGGTGGGACTGATTACAGTACAATATTAAGCTGAAGTCTGTCTTTAGGGAGGCCTGCAGGCCTGGCTCTCTTCCAGCTGGTGTCCAACCACAGTTTAGCTATGTCTCATCTTCTGCACTGACTCTTTGAGGGCCCAGTTACTGTCTGTTAATTTCTATCTAATTTAACCACTTGTAATAGAAATGGGGTCAGAGTAGACAGTATGCTTCAGGCATTAACACCTGTTTGCATGAGGAGTCATGTGTAAGTTTTACGAGCTGTGCAGTTATCTCCACGGACTCATTACACAGGCAGTCAGCGAGCTGAGGTCTGTCACAGGGAAGGCGCCTGATGAGTGTTGTGAAGCAATGCCTGACCATGGCCGTCTCCGGAGCTCAGAAAAGGGAATTCATACTTTAGGGTGGGAAGTGGGAAAGGAGATCAGGAAAATCAGCAGACTTTCAGGAAAAGTTGGAATCTGAATTATGACAAAGCACTAAGCTTTGAGTGTGTGATCTGGTGGCAGTAAGTACTAGGGCCTGACAGAACTGCGGGATAGAGGTTACCAGCTCCCGCAGCACAAGAGCTGTCGGGTTGCAGGAAAGTTTCTGAAAGAGGAGGAAGTTGGAATTGGGTTGGAAGATTGGGACCAGTCCTGAGAGCCAAGTTCAAGGTTGGGGCCAGGGCATTTGCACCTCATTCTGTTGGAAGGCACTGATTGGTTCTTCTCTTTAGCAAATGTTTTTCATGAGATGAAATCACATAATCCACTTTAAATTCAATGGCATTTAGTACACTGAATGATTTTTAAGTAAGAGAGCAACTTGACCAGAACAGTGGCTCACAGTGAACTAAACGGCACGTTCATAGGTGCATCGGAGGTGGGCTGAGAAAGGAAAGAGGAAAGCATGGTTGGAAAACCACTAGTAGAATCCAGGCCAGTGATGTAAAGGAAGATAGTAACGATAGGAATGGAGAGGAGAGGACAGAGGTGAGAGGTGATGGAGAAAGGCTGATGGTAAGGTAGAGAAAGAAAAGAAGGGAGGGGGAAGGCAGAAAGTTCATTCAGGAATGAAGATTGTGGATTTGGAAATTATCTTCGTAAGAGTGAAAGTGGAACTTTAAGATTGGGTGAGATAGTCAAGGGACACCAGTATGGAGAGAAAAAGGGCATAAGGGAAATATACTTCAGGAAAAGTCTTAAACTTTAAGAGATGAACGCAAAGAAAAATCAGATTAACTGCGTAAAATGTGAGTGTTTAGAAAAATAGAACTAGGAGAGTCAGTATGACAGAAGATTACAGAGACAGAAAAATCTAACAAATTGCTGCAGGAGGGTTGAAAAGCTTAAAAATTGAGCGGGCTCACTGACTGTGATAATGAAAGTGTAGTTGGTCATTTAAGAGAGTTGTGTTCTTTTAAGAAAGAAACAGACCAAGGATCTTGTCACTGAATGGGAGAGAGAGGGGAAGGCTGTGGGCTCACGGGAAGACTTTTAGGTTCTAGGAGGAGGAAAGACTGAAGGGAAAGGGTTCCGGGGAGGGAGTGAGGTGGAGGATCCAAGAAAGGGAAGCACTGAAGGAACAAAGTCTTGAAATATTTGGGTGGAGATAATGAAGGCCCTGTTTGAGGAGCTTGCTGTGAAAAGAGGAGATCTGCTTTCTCTTCTGAGGTGGTAGAGAATACAAAACCAGGATTACAATACAGAGAAATGTTTGGAGAAATACAAAAATGGGTCTAGTAAAGACCTTGTTCCTCTTGGGTTTGGTTTAGCAAAATAAGAAGCTGAATCATGTTCTATGAGCTGCTGGAGAGGGAAGCAGGGTCCAGAGCACTTGCTTTCACCACGAGTGAGAGGGCTGGTGATCAGCACATCATGCATTTCAAATATTGACATAATCCACCCCCTCACCCCCACCCCCATGATTTTGCAATTTGTGTTGCTTGGAGGGATTGTAAGATACAGAAAAGTTTTGGGGATCTTGGGGAAGACAGATGGATTTGGTAGCATATTTGATCCTTTTCATTTAAGTTTCATGTGTAAGACTTTTGCCAGTGTGTATAATTTTCACAAAGAGAATATTAACATGCTTAAATGAGACAGTTTTGGTGTTTCTTACAATTAATGAAGGCTCAGCAGAAACACATCTGTTTGGAATTTAGAGAGAAGGTTTTCACTTTCATTTCAGAGTGGTTCTGAGTACATTAGATAGACAATGTCATCCTAGGGTTGAGTGCATTTACCTAGCATGCAGCAGGCCCTGAGGTTCCAGCACCACCAAAATTAAAAGTTGTGTTAACACGGTAGTAAAATTATGTTTTTCTTTGAAGATCCTGTGAGTAAACCACTTAAGTTTAAAGACCATGTACTCTTCCTGTTGTATCTCCATCTTTCTCTTCTTATTTTATTGTCACAACCTTTTAAAAACATTGAAGACCATTTTTAGCATACAGGCAGTAGCAAAACAGACCATGGACTGTAGTTTGCCCCTTCTGATATAAGACAAGTAAATCTTAGAAGGGTTGAAAATGAGCCCAGGGTCAGAAGTCATAGGAGGAAAGAGCAGACATGAGATTGAGAATTTCAACATTATAGTTTTTAATTGAATTTATTTTGTTAGCCAACCCGAATAACTTTTGAATTTTTTAAGAGATTAAAGTTGGTGGTTTGTAAGATGACTTTGGACAGGCATATGAAATACCATTGCAGAATCTTAGAAAGAAGCAGGACTTCTTAAATAGTGAAGTAAACTCGTTTCTCATGGCAATGAGGAGTAGATACTGGGAAAATTATCAAAATCAGTGTTTCCAGAACTCTGGAAATTAACCCAAAGCTTACAGCAAGCTAAAGGACCTTAAAAACAGGTTTTAACTTGTTCCACCTCCATTTCCTCACCCCAACCCCATGCTATTCTGGAAAACAAGCAGCTCTCCAGTGACAGAGCGATGGACTGAGCGTGCAGTTCTTCATTAAGCCCTCACCTAGGGCAGTGTCCCTGTGGGTCTGTCCCAAGGTTCCTTACAGCCTCGGGCACTGGGTTTGTGCTGGGCCATCTCGGTGCCTGGGTCCGGGAGCTCAGGAGAGCTGACAGTTTCTCAGGACTGGAGGTGCAGGCGGGCTCTCAGATGTGCTGCTGTGGAAGAGCTTTAACCAACCATCTTCTGATGAGCATGAGGGCCAGGGTTCGAGAGAGGCTGCTGTGGTCTAGAGTTTTTCCTAAAAGAATCTTGTTGAGTGCAGTGTGTGTACATGTTTCTCTTGAAATGTGTGTACAGAAGCGTAGAAAATAAGACACAATAGAGAAAATTACTGAAAAAATAAACCACACACACACAGAAAAGTAAAAATCAGCTCTTTCATCGCTGTTTTACAGATGACCTCAGAGGGAGGCACAGACCTTCCCAGCCTCTCCCTGTGCCCGTTTCCAGGCCCTCTTAGCATGAGAAGAGGTTAGCAGGAGTCACAGTCTGCTGCAGGCCCTAGAGTTCTCCCTGTGCTCCTAGGACAGAAGCAGTTGGCCACCTGGCTTCAGGTGCTCTCTCTCCAGACATGGAAGCAAGTGCATTTGAAGTGTTTGGTTCAAAGGGGTTTATAAAGCATCTGCTAATGACTTTCTTTTTCTCTTTTTCCAGCTGCCTTTGTGGGAATTTTGCATTGGTAAGAGTTAGTTTCAGTTTGTGTACCCGTGTGTGCAAATGTATTACTTTTTATTGTACAAACCTCGTATGTGAAGCAGCATTTACAAAATAGATGCATTAGGGAAATAGTAATTTATGAATTAAAATACCTTTGCTTTTCCAAAGAATTTACCACTGCATTTGTGTGTGTGTGCTTCTTGAAATATCTAGCTTTTCTAGTATATTTTGAAGTTTACTTACTCATTTCCTTATTTTATACTGGTGATACCTGTGTGCTAATGACATAAGGTTTTTTGCAATGCTTGCCAATTGGAAAGCAGTAGGAGTGCACAGAAGGTTCTTTCCTGTTGGGGCAGAATTGAATGGCTCTGAGCTTTCCGTGGGGATGCATAGGCACTTTATTTTATAGAAGTGATCTATTTTTAATAGTTGTGTGGAAAGTGAGGACATTTTCCACCTCGAATGCTCTCATGTCCCCTGAGCTCCGGGCCTTCTACTCCTGGGAACGGTGGAGTCTGCCCACATTCTGCTGGCACAGTGCCGCTGTGTCCTGTGGGCCTGCAGGGAGCTCTGGGCGTCAGCACTAAGGCTGGGATGGTAGGCGGCAGGGCGCCGAGAGCTGTAGGTACACATGAACCATGTGGAAATAGTGGGTGGGGAACCAAAGTTTTGCTTTCTTTTTGGCTTCATTAAAAAGCACTACATAAATTAAATGTAGCATAAGTGCTGACTGTAACTAATTTCTTTGTCACATATGATCCTTTTGTCACTGCCCGTTCCTGTTGAGTTGCATTACCAAAATATCTTCCAGTTCAGTCCTGTGTTAACTGGCATTTAAAGTTGATCTTTTATGCCATATCACACTTAAAAACCGATTTCATCTCAAGTGATTTTACATAAAATTCTATTCTGAGCACTTTTCAACAGTTACAGAGATAGTTCCCAAATCTGGTACATTTGAATCACTTGTTAAACAAAAACCTGCCTATGTTCTCATATAGAGGCCTGAGATAGAAGAGAGGCGAGAGCCGCAGGGAAGTTAGATATACATACAAGTAAGGTTAAGAATGGAGCCAAGGAATTTCACGGGTGTGCTGCCCTGGATTATATGTGCCCCTAAACATAAAGTTTATAAGCAACTATAGCTTGACTAATTTCAGTATTTGTTACAAAAATTATTTTTTTCCATTCCATAGCTTTTTTACTTTTTTACCTGTGATTTTATTGTTATAGAAGTGATTCTGAAACCGGTTCTTATTGAAATATACTATTTCATTTTTTTCCCAAGGTTACATTTAACAACACTTTTTGAGAATGACCGTCGTTTTTCTCACCTCTCCACTTTGGAACGGGAGATGTCATTTCGCAATGAAATGGTCAGTTCTTTCTCCTAGTGAGTTAATGTGTGCTTTAAGAAGAGTAAGACTATAAAGTAGAAATTTATTAGGAAGGAAGTAGGTTTCTGATGAGTGGTGTCACACATTTCTCCTTTCTGTCTATCTGAATTTTCCAGAATACTAGGCACTTCGGCCTCTGCTTTTGATTTTCATCTGTATAACCCCTATAATGCTTTTGAACACCTGAATATGTGAATGTTTGTATCACATTTGAATATTTTAAAAGTATTATTTCCAGTGACAGGATATAAAGTATTACTAAATTAAGCAGATAGTCTGGGCTTTGATGACAAATCACTGGGTCCAGGTAGCAGTTCCAGCTTCTCTGGATGATGGTTGGTCGGTTACCTTCCTGATTCTGAGTCATCTCATCTGTTAATTAGAAATTACGCCAACCACACAGGGTTTTGTGAAAATGAAAGGAGATAAATGAACAGGGGCACAAATCACAGTACCTGGCACACAATAATATCTTGTTATTAGTAACCTACACACAGCAATCAAAATGTATGGTGAATATTTAAATTTTTAAGAATGTATGACTGTATGTTTGTCCTTTTTCTCAGTGCTGGGACAAAAATATCCGACATCCACAATTTAAAGGAGGGGAGGTTTATTTTGGCTC